GCGCATCACGGGAGAGATGAAAGTCGAAAACAGATGCAACTCTGTTGAATGTTCTCTGCAGTCCGCAAATCGCACCGTACGCTCCATAATTTGTGCGACGTAGAGGCAGTCTTAGCATAAGGTTATTACGAAGCGGTCGGGGTTGAACATTCAGGTCAATTTGCCTCAGGATAGCCTCACAATCTGTCCTTCCTTGTAGGATATCGGCCACGGTAAGGGCTCTGTTTGTGTCTCTTCTAGTCCGGAGAAGTTCTAGGTCGATAAGTTGACAACGGCTTTCGTAGCTTGGTAATCGAAACGGATCGTTCCAAGGCAATCTACGCAACGCAAAACGAAGAAAGCGACGTTGAACAGATTCAATTCTCTCGGCACCGTTGTTGTAGTTTGGGTTCCAAACCGCTGAACAATACTCAAGCGTCGAGTTAATGCACAGGTAGATTGAGGTTAAGGAAACGTCACTGCTTAAATCCGTCGGATATCCTGAATTCACCTCGTTGGTGGAATGGTCCGTCTTGGCTCACTTCTGATCGCTGGCCAAAGACCACCATCGATCAAGAATGTTCCTCCACGGCATCTGAAGAAGGGCGCAAGGTTCCGATCGTGGCAATGGCCACTGTACAAACCAACTTCTGCGGGATTTGTTTTCACGTTACTCGAGTTACAAAATACACGTTGAAGGAAACAGTACTTACGTCGTCTGTTTCTCTGGTCGGTCGATGACAAATTATTTTTGTGATCAGTTTGGATTCGGTTTGGGCAGAATTTGTCGCGGTGCTAGTTATCTACTATCTATCTATCTACAAGACGTCTATCGTCAACATTGGGATTACCCGCGGCTTTCTCGGGGTTAGTGGTGGTATAATGTTTAAAGGATAGCAGGTTGGATTTAGGGAATTACAAATGCATTAGTATTGTTAGTAACTTACAAGTCCAGCCTCGACGGAAGTTTCCTAATTCTGGTTGATCTCCTAACAGTAGGATTTCAATTGCTGGAATTACGCCCAGGATCTTTATCAGTACTGCTGATAGGAATAGTAGGGATTCAAGCTGATACCGTGTTTGTGGCCAAATTTGAATAGTTCGTAGCTGACCCTACAATTGCAGCTTCTGACTTGACCATTGGTTGCGGGATGATATGGAGCTCCCATCTTATGAGTGATACCTACCGTTACATTTGATAAAAGCCTGGAATTGATCAGAAGTAACATGGGGAACACGGTGAGTAACTATTACGGACGGTGTTCGCGACGCGAAGACTTTGAAAAAACTTTGTTCAGCACTTATTGAACAAATGAACGCAAAGGATAGACGTTCGCGGCGAACGGTTTTTAATGGTGCGCTCAATCCGTCAGGATTGCTTAGACACAACTTTCAATTCTCAATTATATTAAAGTTCTTTTAAACTTATAGGATAGTTGCTCTACCAAAGTGAGAGCTTACTCCTATATCTGAATAATTAGAAACTTTAACAAACTGAAAAAAGTATCTTAGCATCAAGATCAACCTTCAATTCAACTCAAAGGCTAAGACCTCACTAAAACGTAGGCTTGTGCTTCTTCGACGAATGAATTGAAACGATACCTGATGAAAACACTTACGAAAGGGATTGTTCGGACTTCACAAATGGACCGATTGAGCCTTACCAACGAACTAACTTTATTTAACAATTCATTTTCCTTATATAGCTAATCTTAAACCTAAAAAGTTTAACAGGTAAAATCTAATGGGTGATCTAGTCCTTCGTATAATGTGTCGTAGGTAAATTCTCTGCTATCTTTTTCTATGGCACATTTCCATCTTCTGGGGTTTTTCCAACAATCTTTATTTACGACACATTTCCTTCTACTAGGCAGGTAATCACTTTATTCTTTAAAAGTTACCAGGTAATGCGCATAGAGAAATATTTATTGCTTGCGCTTTTGTTGCCTGCGCCTAGCTGGTGATATGTTTATTATTTTTATTTCAAAGAGAGGTGAAAACAATAATCATTATTTTGAATAGAACTAATTAATTCGTCGCGTTCCCAACAGACGGGATCCCAAATGCAGCGAAAAATTCTTTCATTCGCTGGATTGTAGTTTGAGTCGTCATATCTGGTATTAATTTCACATCTGGCCATTTGCTGTAAGCATCTACAATGATGAGGAAATAAAGTCATATGAAAGGACCAGCGAAGTCGGCTTGAATTCGCTGTAATGGTTCTCACGGTCTCTCCCAGGAATGTACTGGAACTTTTGGTGTATCCGGCCTAAGTAGTCCTAGCACAATCAGAGCAATCTCGTGCCATCTCTGCAATATCATGATCGATATTACACCACCAACAGTGTTTGGAAATATTTGCAGTTTCGCTCTGATCAATACGGAAACAATCGCGGCCTTCTACTGATCTACCTGATCGTAATGCCTGAATCAAATTACGGACATCTGTATCTCTTGTAGTGTGATGAGCGAGTTCCTCCACCGAAATCGGAAGCATCTCGATTTGTTGAATCTCAAGCACATCGGCTACCTCGAGATAAGACTTGCTGTTAGAATTTTGAATTGTTTATTTATTTATTTATTTCTTATGTTTGCATCAACAGAATAGTACCAATTATGTGTTGTAAAAAAAGTACAGATTATAAAGACTACATATACTGGAATATAGTAGAAGTCTCAGCATAAGACTGTTGCGTAGTGATCGAGGTTGAACATTAATGTTCGCTTGTTGCAGAATTGCTTCGCAGTCGATTCTTCCTTGCAGAGTATCGGTGACGGTTAAGGCTCTGAAAACATCTCTTCGGATACGTAAGGGCTCGACATTGATCAATTGGCAGTGATTCTCGTAGCTTGGAAGGCGAAGTGGGTATCTCCAAGGCAGCTTACGGAACGCGAAGCGAAGAAAACATCGTTGCACAGATTCAATTCGCTCGGCCCCATTATTGTAGTCCGGGCTCCAAACTGCAGAGCAGTATTCCAACGTAGATCGTACGAAAGAGCAATAGAGCGATTTCAAGCAGTAAATGTCTGTGAAGTTCTTAGTAATCTTGAAGACAAAGCCAAGAGTTCTGGACGCTTTGTCGACGACATACGATATATGGTGTGAGTATGTCAGCTTTGAGCCTAGAAAAACGCCTAAGTCTTTCACGCAATGCACCCGTTCGAAAGTCGTGCCTAGTAGTTTGTAGTTGAAAATAATCGGTTGTTTCCTGCGTGAGAAAGTAATGACTGTACACTTTGCTGGATAGACCACCAGTCGGTTTAGACTACACCAGTCAGTAAAGATGTCAATCTGATTTTGGAGAGAACGGCAGTCGGCTAGTGAGCGGATGCGCTGAAAAACTTTCACATCGTCTGCAAACGATAATCGTGGCCCTGTGATGAAATTTAATTTTTGAGATTTAAATAATTATCGGACTTTGCACAGAAGCATGCTGAGCGACAAGTACCCAAAGTTACTGTCAGTTGGCGCTCCGTGAGGTATGAACGAAACCATCTCAAAAGATTTCCACCGATCACTAGCCTATCAAGCTTAGCGATGATCGCAATTTCGTGGTTCAGATTATCGAAGGCTGCCGTAAGATCTGTGTTGATAACGGCCGTTTGGGTCCGAGCAATCAAACTGTCTGTGATGTAAGACGTTAGGCACAGCAGGTTCGTAGTTGTGGAACGCCAAGTTATGAATCCGTGTTGATCTATGCTTAGATATTGCTTGCAATGCGCATTTAAGGACTCTATGACAACCAATTCAAAAAGTTTTGATACAGCACTCAGCGATGTGATTCCCCGGTGTTGTTTACGTCGCGTTTGCTTCCATTTGTATGAACAGGAAACATGTCCGCTGTCTTCCAGCAAGACGGAAAGATGCCGCTGAAAAGAGAGCTGGAATATGCGGCGCAGTGGATCTAAAAGACAAGTGATGTTCTTTTTAAGAATAATCGACGGAACACCATCGGGTCTAGCCTTAGCTGAAGTCTTAAGTTTAGATGCTGCTCTATAAATCGTATCTGTAGTGGCTTCGACAATGCTGAGCGTTTGGTAGACCAAAGAAACATTACTGGCCGCGGAAGTTATGAGATTAGCGGGGAGTTGTTCGTCTTCAAACACACTAACAAATTTGACGGAGAACAGGTTGCAAATGTCTTGTTGATTGCCAGCAGTTCACCATTAAAAATCATGGAAGAGGGTAAGGATTTCGGGTGTGATTTCAGCCGCCGTTGAATTCTCTTTTGATAGCGTTGAAAACAGAGACGACTTTACCGCTTATACTCGTGGTTGAGTCTGACATAGTAGCATTTCAGCGGCAGTGTGCGGAGTTTAGTAAATCTTTTGAGAGCAGCCTTCTTAGTTCTTTTCAACGAGCAAAGATCTTTCGTCATCCACATCTAAACTCAGGGCCAGGACTACTTGGATGAACGCTGACTGCAATAGGCGCGACTGATTTAGAGGAACTGGGGACTCCCAAATGCATGAATCGGTAGACGAGACATTCCATCTACATTTCCATGTAGCTTAGAATTTCTGTAACGTATTCCAAAGTCAAAACTTTCCAAAAATACAGCGTAATGTTGCGTACTCATTGCTGACAAAGTAGGCCCGGTGAGAAATTTTGAGCAACAGGCTTGTTGTCAGTAACAAGAGTAAACTTCTTTCCGAAAAGGTATTGATGGAATCTTTTTACTCCGAATACAATGGCATAAGCCTAATTATCAACTTGCGTATAATTCTGTTGCATTGAGTTAAGAGTCTGGGAGGCATACCAAAAGATACCACCTCTGCATTGCAGTAAGCAAACTCTGACTGCACCTATATTAGCGATAATTAATTTTGTTCGTTATTAACAGGACACAAAATGTAATTAATCAAAACATGTGTTGGGGCAAAGCATTAAAAAAATTAAAAAATATATGATACAAAATCAGGTTTGGGAATGAAAATCTGATTGAAAATAGGCATCTTCAAAACTTTCAGGTTCTTCTGAGAAAATAGACACAAGTCTTGATCAGATTTTTACCTCTTATTCGACTTTTATTATCGTACTTACTTCTATGCAATTTCCTCCGAAATCACTACCTCACTGAAGCATTCGAGATTCGCTACGTTGTCATCCTCGTTCAGTACCTGCTCATTCAACACTTCTTCACTTTCTCCGTAATATTCATCCACTTTCGCCAGCATCAATCCATCCAGCTGCATACCATGCTTGTTTTTCTTATGGTGTGTTAACAGATGTCGAAATCGAAACGCCTGGCCACATATTTCACATCCATGCATTTTTTCACCGGTGTGACGCGTCACGTGGTACTTGAGATCCGAAGCGGTGTAGAACGAGTCCGTACAGTAGGAACATTTGTATGGTTTCTGACTGGGATCTGAATTGTGTCTCAGCATATGCCGGTTGAAATAACGGCGTGCTCCGTAAGTTTTGCCACAAATGCCACACAAAAACGAATGTGCCTCGTGGACCGTCATCTTGTGATTTTTTAGATCACTTTTGATGAAAAACTGCTTTTCGCATTGATCACACTGAAAATCACGTTCCCTCTTGTGGAATTTCATGTGCAAACTCAGATAACTAGGATTTTGGAAGGTTTTATCGCACAGCTCACAATAACAGGAGTTACTATTTTCGTTTTGTCGATTAATTCTTCTGGGTTTGGTAGTGCTGAGTGATTTAATTTTGTGCGTTTTCAAGTGGTACTTTAACTGATGCAATTGCTGAAAACGATCCGGACATAGTGGACATTGGAGACGTTTCTTCGACTGCAGTCGCTTCAGTTCCTCAGATGTATTTTTTTCCTGTGTAGGGTCATTTTTGTGCATCCTCTGGAGATGTGTTCGATAACCGTGGCGAGAATTGAATGGTTTGCTGCAAATGTCGCATGTATAGCTTCTATTTCGCAACGACTCAGCCGTACCAATGGCTGAACAGATTTTGCGATGTTCTTTCCTTTGGCTTCTGTTAGCAAACATTTTGCCACAATCCCAACACTCCTCATCTATACTAACGCCATCATGTTTGCTTCTTCGAGGGGCCTTTACAACAACTTTATCCAATGCTTCCAGCATTTCATCGATGCTCAATCCTTCCAATGGCGGGAGATCTGAGTTTTGTTCTTCAAATACATTTTCGCCTTTTTTGTCAATCTCTCTCGGAACCTGAAAAATATAACACATGAATTTATAATCAAACAAGTGCAAATCGAAATACCAGCACAACTTGTTCATTTTTCATTTCAGAATCACTTTGTTCGTCCGATTCATCCTGCAAACTATTGATACAATCTGGAGACTGCGGTAATAAGCGCTTCTGTTGCTGATGACAAGTTTGAACGAAGTAACTAAATTCTTGCATTTTGCTCCAACAATCGCCACAAATCTTCGCACCGTAAATTTCTGTCGAATCACTCTGCAACAAACAAACATCCCATATTGACTTCCAGACCAGCTGTGATGACCTAGCATCAGCAATTTTCAAGCCCTCGGTCACTTTCAATTCCAACGAACACAGTCGACAGCAGAGTTCAAACGTGAGAACTCCCTGCGGCTCTACCAGAACCAGTTCCGGCTCCTCAATCCTACGCCGTTTAGAAACCCGTTTCTTTCTTGGAACTTGGGTGCGTTTTACGGTGGATTCCGTCAGTGGTGGGTCATCATTTGAATTTGGATTGTCATTCGTTGGACCAGGCAAATTGAGAGTAGGAATCACATCAGGTGCCAGGTTTCGACCCACGGATACTTGTTCCGGTGTAAAGTGTTTCTCGCAAACGGTTGGGATATTGGGAATTTTCCAATCGGGATCACGTCCAATCAGCTGTAGCCACCGCTCTTGCAGAACTTCGTCCTCGCGAGGAATATGGAAGAAGCGCAAACCCGGTTCGTAACAGTCCCGATTGGTCGTACAGCCTAACACCGAACATTTTTTAGGCATTGTGGTAAATGTATTTATTTAGTCGACGATACCCTGCTGATAGAACCTTTCATCTGGTCAAGCAAAAATACATGTGAAAACTATTATGGTATAGATCTTTAGCTTTTATGATTCAAAGGACTGTGGTGATCAATAAAATCGATAGTTACTGTTTATTCACTTTTAATAGGTGTAACGCTTACACATTTTAGAAATTAAATTTAATAATCTGTAGAATTTTTTTGCTTACAAACTTCGTGAATGTCCGACAGTGACAAACTGTACTAGTCGGACTCGACTGTCGGAGATATAGCAGTGGTGCCAATTTTCTTGATGGCTAATCCGTGAGTGGTTCAGCGAGTTCAGTACACCGAAAAAAGTTTTCATGTAGCTTCCCGCATAAATGCAAACCATTACTTTACCTTACCAAAAATGGTTAAACATTGTTTATAATCCCTGCTAAACTTTAACTGAAATGGTTATGGAACTTTACATGAACGTTTGTGTGATAAAGTTTAAACCTTATGTATTATGGTTTTTTGGAAGTGAACCTTACAAATAATAGGTTGTTAAGAAGCATTACCATTCCAAATGCTTGTTTTCTCCATATATACATTTTTGGGAAAGTAATTATATTGGAACTATTCTATTTATGATTTGAGAACTTTAATGGTAATGGTTATGGTAGTTGGTAACGTTCATAGCTGGTTTTATGACATCCATCAACTTTATGTGGAATATATCGCGAATTGGTTGCCTGTAAATTACTGATTACCAATTCGCGATTTATTTCACGTAAAGTTGACCGATAATACTAAACCATTAATGGACCCTACTGACTACCATAACTATTACCATTAAAGTTCTCAAACCATAAGTAAAAAGGTTTTAATATAGTCCTCTCTCCGAAAATGTATGAAGAGAACAACTATTTTGAATGGTAATGGTTCTTAACAACCCATTATTTGTAAGGTTCACTTCCAAAGAACCATAATACATAAGGTTAAAACTTTATCACACAAACGTTCATGTGTAAAGTTCCATGACGATTTCAGTTAAAGTTAAGCAGGGATTATAAACAATTTTTAACCATTTTCGGTAAGGTCAAGTTATGGTTCGCGTTTATGCGGGTTCCATTGGAAATGCACATGATTTTCATCCATAATCAAAATTAATGGAATTAATATGAATTTCACATAACATTTATGCGATCCCATTTAATTTATGTGTTCTTGCAAATGAATTTCATCGGCTTCATAATATTCATATGATTTCGTGGTGGGATTTGCTGTTATGTGATCACAGGAAAGCTATGTGAAATTCACATGGATTTCATCCATTAGATATGTGATAAATTTTTTGAGTGTAACTGTTACGTTATTTCTAAAAAAAACTCAAATTTGAATTAGGTACTGCAGCGTGACGTCACAAATGAACTCAGTGTTAGCCGGTTGAACCTTTTTGACAGTTCAGTGGTACTGTTTACAAGCACTTAGTCGTTTTTTCGAAAAAATATATTTTAAAATTTCCGAACTTTAACTTGAAAATTGTCGAGGAACAGCGCGGTGAAAGGATGTTGCTCGTGGACACTGCAAAGTGTGGTTTACATCTCACTGGAGTCTGAAAAATTATCGAGAAAATCCACCCAAGAAAAAAATGACTAAGTCCACGTAAACAGTACCACTGAACTGTCATAAGATTGAGGTTAACCCCGACGGTGCAAAACCTAATAAGCTTGAAATGCGAAGAAGAAGAAGAAGAAGTTTCATCCGTTGAGTTTCAGAATTCCCAATCGCTTCACTGTGAAAATGTTCTCCGCTGCTTGTTTCGCAGGTACTATGGAAACATCCTCTTGAACAACGACCCCATGACATCACCGCATCACCGCTAATAAGACTGATTTGATTAAAAACGCCAAGTAAACTAAATTTATTAATTAATAAAATTCTTACCCACACCCTCGCCCACACCAAGGTGACTATATATAGGTGTTCTAAGGTATCAAATCCATGATTCAGCCATGTTGAATTTTTTTATGGGACAGCGACCGAGTTTGTTTAAAATTTGCTCTAAAACCGCACTTTCCGGAGTCCAAAGTAGGCACGATTTCCTGCCATAATGCGTCTTTAAATTTCACTGCTGGTATCATTTTCGGCGGTCACCAGTGAGCCCAAATACACAAAATCATCGACCACCTCGATTGGTCACCGTCAATCTGAACTCGGGGTGGGAGGCTAACATTGTCTTCCCTAGAACCTCTTCCTTTCATGTATTTTGTCTTTGATGCGTTGATGGCAAGTTCAATCCGCCTAGCTCCAGCCTTCAGTCTGATGTACGTTTCCGCCATCGTCTCAAAGTTCCGTGCCATTATGTCAATGTTATCGGCGAAGCCAAGAAGCTGGATGGACTTCCTGAAGATCGTGCCACTCGTGTCTATCCCAGCTCTTCTGATCACACCTTGTAACGCGATGTTGAATAGCAGACACGAAAGTCCATCACCTTGCTGTAACCCCCTTCGAGGTTCAAAGGGACTCGAGAGTGTCCACGATACTCGAACAACGCACATCACTCGATCCATCGTCGCCTTGACCAATCGCGTCAGTTTATCCGGAAATCCGTACTCGATCGATTGTGTCGTATGCGGATTTAAAATCGATGAACAAATGATGTGTGGGCCCGTTGTATTCGCTGCATTTCTGCAGAACCTGTTGAATCGCGAAAATTTGGTCCGTGGTACCCGTGAATTCCACCTGGTATTGCCCCACGAACTCTCTTGCAAATGGTGACAGGCGACGGCATAGAATTTGGGAGAGTACCTTGTAGGCGGCGCTCAGCAGTGTGATCGCGCGGTAGTTGCAGCAATCCAACTTGTCGCCCTTTTTGTAGTTTGGGCATACGACACCTTCCATCCACTCCTCCGGTAATATGGTGTTGAGGTGTTCGTCATAGTACTGCTTCCACCTCTCGATCACCTCACACTCTTTCGTGAGAAGGTTACCGTCCAAGTCCTTGCACATATCGGCTTGCGGGTTGCGGCACGTAGCCTTTGCGCGAACTATTTAGCTTCTCGTAGAACATCCGTGTGTTGTTTACGCGGTACAGATTTTCCATCGCCTCGCGATCTCGGTCTTCCTGGTGACGCTTCTTCCTTCGGAAAACCGAGTTTTGTCTGTTCCGCGCTTGTCTGTATCGCTCCACATTCAATCTCGTACGGTGTTGCAGCATTCTCGCCCGTGCTGCATTCTTCTCCTCTACTAACAGTTTGCATTCGCCGTCAAACCAGTCATTTCTTCAGTACGGTGCCGCTGCAGCAGTATCACCGGTTGAAGACTAACGATTTAAAATTGGCTCACTACTTTACTAGCCTAATGGTCCCAAGTAAAGAGCCTGAATTTATAAAGAGACGACATCTTATCCATTTGACAGGTCTTCTGCTCGATTGGAATAACTTTTCCTATGACTTTGACAGATAATCGATTGTTCCAATTTTGACAAGTCGTCTCTTTATAAATTCAGGCTCTTTAGTCCCAAGCAAATCAATTAACGAACCCCATTCTAGTCGAAATTCTAGTACTACACTATGTTTGTTTTGCTTCGCTATGAAAGTTTAAAAGAAAAAAATGAGGGGTTAGTGGATTTTCCTATAATTCGAGGGGTGCATCGATTAGCTTGAGACCGAAGATAATACCAGAGCTGAGCTTAAAAGTTGAGCACGTTTCTTCGGGACCTTCTGGTCTTAGAGTTACCTCTATGGCAGTACTACTTTTTTTTTTTTTTTTTTTTTATACAGGGGGGAATCTGCTCACAGACACCTGAGAAGGAACTCAGGGTGTGGGGATGGGAGAATTTCACTCCCGACCCACTAAACCTTACCCTGTGCGCTTGGCCCTTGGCCTCCCCGGAACCGCCCGAAGGCATTACTTCGTGGGAGGGGCCGCTGTAGCGCTATGGCGCCTCTCTAGCAATACTCTAACGATCTGGTCGGGCAGTAGGTAACTGCTGCTCGGCTCGCCACTGTCGTTGTAATACCGAAACTATGTGGGTGACCGCAGTCACCACCGCGCTCCAGTTCTCGGTGGTACCACACATCCTATGAACGATGTTGTCCGGACTGGTATCCGCTCCGCATATCGCTAGCATAGCGCTCGATACTGGCTCGAAACGTGGACAGGCAAACACGACGTGTTCGGCGGTCTCCTCGACACCAGCACATGTGGGGCAGGTGGGAGTACTTGCATGTCCGAACCTATGCAGGTAGCTCCTAAAGCAGCCATGGCCTGACAGGAACTGTGTCAGGTGGAAGTTTACTTCCCCATGGCGCCTGTTGACCCAGCTTGATACGGAAGGTATCAAGCGGTAAGTCCACCTCCCCTGGCAGTACTACTTATGGCTGAACGGATGTCCCTCCAGCCATCTTCAAGAGAAGCTGCGTCAAGCTGCTCTTCCGTGGGTATTGCAACTTCGAGCTGCTGCGCGTAGCCTGGGCAACTCCGGCGTCCCGTAGTTGCTCACTGCGATACGTGCGGACGTTGATAATGTCGGAGAAGAATTTCCCGTCGATTAGACCGTGATCGATTTGGTTTTCTGTGTGTTGGTCAGGTGATCTCCAGGTGGCTTTGTGGATATCCTTGTGGGGGCAAAAGGTACTTCGAACTACCATACCCCGAGAGGCTGCAAAGTTCACGCATCGTTAGCTGTTGTCGTTCGATACGGCATGCAGGCTGTTTGACCCGATTGCCGGTCTATACATTGCCTCCCGTCCTACCTGAGCGTTTATGTCGCCGATGACGATTTTGACGTCCCGTTGCGAACAGCCGTCGTACACCTGCTCCAGCTGCGCATAGAACGCTTCTTTCTCGTCGTCGGGTCTCCCTTCGTATGGGCAGTGCACGTTGATGATGCTATTGTTGAAGAAACGGCCCTTAATCCTCAACTTGCACATCCTCGCGTTGATCGGCTGCCAACCAATCACGCGTTGGCGCATCTTACCTAGAACTACAAAGCCGGTTCCCAGCTCGTTGGTGGTGCCACAGCTCTGGTAGTTTAGGCCTCCCCTTCGTCTTTTATCGGCTCCTTCTCAGTATAGTCTACTATCCAGAATCTTTAGATGTAATACGCGTCGTTTCGATGCTTTAAAATAGGTGGATGCTGTTTCTGACCATCGCTTGCTTCCTCTCCATTGTTCTCCTCGACATCCGGAGACGTCACATCTATAGAAAATCGCCCGTATAGAAAATAATTTTAGATAGAGCAGGAATAAGGGAGCTAAGGCTCGCAAACGCAAATTAACAACACCATAGGGTAGGGGAAGACTTACCCTACCGACGGTTATGTTGGTTTGTGTGGGCGTGTCTTGAGTTCCTAGAAATCATCGATAGAAGTCATTCCCCCTTATTCTGCGAGTCACGTGACTCTCTGTCACCGGTGAGGTGACAATTGTCACCTCGTGTGAGGTGACTCTCCATGTAAATCAAATGGAGAGTCACCTCACACGAGGTGACTATTGTCACCTCACCGGTGAGAGAGAGTCACGTGACTCGCAGAATAGGGGGGAATAAACTATCGCGTGATCCACACCGAAAAACACAGCTGCTGCTGTCGATATCTAAGAGCACACTGATTTAAGGCTGGTTAAGGAGTACCTACTTTAAAGATCAATTCAGTGTCTCATAATCGTGACTCGCAGAATAAGTCCGGAGTGATTTGAGCGTAATTGCTTTTGTAAACAAACACTTCAATCACCGATTTCTCGCGAATAAAAACTCAGGCTAGAAAACAAACAACACACTCATGTAGAGGAGTGATTCCTCTGTCATTTGGAATAGTTTGTTCGCGAGATTAAGCTTTTATTCGCAAGAAATCAGCGATTGACATATTTGTTTACAATATCAATTACCCCCAAATCTCGAAGTTCTCCGGAAGTGGGAATGAGTTATTGGAAGGATCACGTGTTGATTACTGTGGTCGTGTATATGTAGATCAGGTGATATTGAAGGAACTTAAAACAAGAATTTTTTTCGGGCTTCTCGGGTATATTCCGTGATATTCCACAAGTTATTTTAGAGCAAAGACACATGAGGCCTTTCTACCCATTTATTCACATATTTGTTAACATCAACAGATTCAATGTGGCCCCATAACTGTCCCTTTTGATTAAACAATCAAAATGTGACATTATTGTGTGATAAATTTAGAGTACCTCTTGTTTTCGTTCGAACCGTTTTGCCCTACAAAATTTATTTTTTGTATGAAACGTACGGTTCGAACGAAAACAATAATATGGGTGGATTTCTCGAATCCGTCTTAACAGGAATTTCGTTCATTCTATCTCATGCAACTGAAAACTAGCACCCATTCTCCAGATACTTTGGGGGATATAATTGTCGTTATCATGCGATGGTAATCGCGATCACTATATAGCGAATCTTGCTGTGTTAGATAATACCTAAACTCCACTCTGGCAAAACCCGGACAGGGGCTCTCCTCGTGGGTCACTGGGTACGTACAATACGGTTAATATATGCGAACCAACAGTAGTACATTGACTTGCGCTCACTTCGTGGTTTGCGTCTCACGGGGTGGTCTGGCTTCAACCAAAACAACCGAAAAGAGTTTCTCGATGTGTACCTACTTAGTTTCTACACTACGCTGACTGCTTGCATTTGAATTCCTTTGTTTTTTTAACACATACATTCGCTTCTATTGTGTATTCTGTATATTCACGGTTGTAGTAGTTCAAGAAGTATTGGTTATGTTTTGAATTTCTTTTTACCTTTAAGGCATATTTTGTTCAAGTGTTTTCTGTTTTTACTCAAATGCTATACAAAACTACCGTTCCCTGCTTATCGTCTAGTTATATTTTGAAGGTGAATGATGTCAAAGGAATCGATTAGTGAATCATTACATGAGATTTTACTTAGGAATCTCGCGAGCAAAATGTTTCTTTTATTGAAAATTTTGTATCCTGTGCGGGTGGGTCATTGGATGATATCAAGTTGAAATGGTTTTCTATTTTAGTTCGTCTTAAATTAAAAAAAAGGATTAAACTGTTCAGAAAAGGCCCGACGAGAGCGCAAATCTAACGCATCCGGTAGTGATTCTTTTCGTTTACCTGCGATAACTCTCCCTTGAAGTGCAGGTCGATGGTGAAATCTAAATCCCGATTGTTCCGGGCATTTGGTTTCATTTTGAACATACCGTAGATCTCTTCACCCTTTTTTACGGTCAGATACTCGTCGAAGTAGAACACGGTCTGTTTCCAGTGTGTGTAGGCAGCCTCGGGTGAGGTGCTAAATCCCAAACGTTGATGACACTTGGTAAATTCAACATTGAAATATGTGATCAACGCCTGGACGAAATCGTTTCGCTTCACCATTAGATGGAACGGCGACTCGAAGTCGAGGTCCTCCTTCCGGACGGTATACAAATCAATTTCCTTGACCATATAAGAACTGGTCACGATCTGCTTTGGATCGACAACATCCACCAACGGTTCGCTAATGGCAACCTTCCGGATCGAGCTCATGTTGAATCCGTACACATTATCCCACCAGTTGATTTTCTCGTCCTTGTACTGACGGTCTTCGATGGCGGACACGAACAGCGTACACCGATCCGGGAACATCATACCTGAGTTCGGTTTGAGCCACTTGTCACGAGCGTAGATGACAGTGTCCAACATAGACTCGTAGAACAAACAGTACCTGTTGAAATGGACAACAACGTGTAATAAACATGTTGCTCAACCTGCATACTTAGAAAACTATGAAACTCACCCCATCCACTCGGAAATGATAATGTCAACCTGCTGGATGCCATCGGGCAGCTCGATCTCCTCCACCTTTCCCTTAACGAGTGTGATGATATGGCTCAGATTGTTCGCCTCGACAATCTTCTGCGCGTAATCGATGATGTTCGAGCACTCGACGGCAATCACTTTGGACGCACCAGCTTTAGCAGCGAACATCGACAGGATTCCCGTTCCACAGCCAATATCCAGTACGGTTTTACCCTTGAACAGATGCTTATTATGGTACATTGAGTTCCGATAGGTCAACGTTCGCACTTCATCCTTGAGCATCTCCTCGTGGATGCCAAAGTGTGCGTACGAGTCGAAGTAGTAATCCCGCGATGTCATTTCCTCCGCATTGGTTGCCAGACTATCTCCACTGGTGTTCCCGTTTGGCGTGGTCGCTGCTGTAGAAGAAGACGATGCTGTTTCCATGTTTACGTCGGTACTGGCCTAATAGGAAAATTAGAACAAAAACCGACACTAAGAATTTTGTTTATGCTGCTCTAGACATGTTTCTAGCTTGGCCTTCCGCAAATATAACCTATAAAAATATTTATTTCAACATTGATAGTCAGCTTCCCGCTCACACTTCACTGACCACACTACCTTCTCCCTCTACTAGCGGCTGCTGCGCCTTACTTTGTTCAAATTCAGGCAAACCAAAAATCGATTATAATTATACAGATATAGCAAATACTCACCATATTTAACGAATCTAAACGGAATACTGTGTATGATAGTACGATTCCGCGGAATAATGCACAAACGAATCCAACGTTTCTTCACTCTATCGAACTCCTGATGGAATCAACGATGCCGCTGCTGGATCTTCTTGAAGCCGACAAAAGGAGCAAGAAGTAAAATTGCGGCGACGGCTACGATGGGCAAAAACAATAATCCACTTCCCGTACAGTAGTTAATCCAAAGGGACCCAAAAATGTCCCGATGGCCTAGTTTTCAATGTAGAAATACTAAAAATCACTTTTCCGGAGTTTTTGAACATGAAAGGAAGCAAATTGTCGCAATTTTTCACTACCGCATCGATGATGGCCGCACAAACCAAACCACACTTTTGCTTCTTTCTTGCTTTTTCTGCTGCGCGAAAACGGCAAAGCGAGCGTCGAGCGAAAGACAAAAGCAAGCAAGGCACATTTTGACAAGCACCCAGCGCGTGAGCGCCGGCACTGCTCCGGACCTGCTCCGGACCTCCGGACGGTCGACACGTGAGTGACTGTCGGAGTTAAGTGGTTTTTGCGCGCCGCACCAAATGGTATTGGATTCCCGGGACAATAAATAAAATTAATCGTTCACGTGTGATTAAATTGGGTTCTTTAATGTTACAACCATATTATTACATGTTATGGGTTACGTTTATTACACTAATAAATTCCACACATATATATTGACGAATTTCCATGTCAAATTCCACATGATTTTCATGTGACCACACATAAACAAAATCCACCCAGAAGCACACATGAAATTTAAGAGTCAAATGAATCACGGAACCAAATTTTGTCCATTTAAATCAAATATATTTGTTTATTATATAAAAATATGAACAGTTCGAAGTAAATTAAAAACATGTTTTCAACAAAAGTATGTACGTTTGAATTAAATTCAAAAGCATGTTTATTTCAACAATACATAATCAGGGTAAACAGTTTTTAGCGTATGCTTTTTTCCTTCTTGTTTACATTCGGCAAACTCAACCGAAAACGGCCTGCAAGCGGCGAAACCGAAGACCGCTGGTCCGAAAACCCACGCAAGCATGTGTTCCAAGCTCGACAAAACCGGTGAAACTCCACAATATCAACGTCACTCCGTCGTTTCTGATACCGATCCCCATATCATACTCACCCCCACCCGACGTCGAAAAAAAAACAACACCAAATGAGGACCAGCGTCAGAAACGACAAAACGACGCTAATATCACAACTATAGACTTTTAATTTGAAAATGCATTATTTTTAAACGAACAATTTTTATTTTTGTGTGCAGTATCACAAAGTTTTACCGGTTTTACTGAACTAGAACCCCCGGACACACACCCCGACGGCCCCCGGATCACGGACCCGGACAACACCCACAGACCACCCTTAATCGCAGGAATATAGATGCCATGTCTGCAGATTTATATGTTTGTTTATTTTAAACATGAAAAGCATGTTTAAAATAAACATATTTATTTTTGATCACGTATAGTTGCCAAATAAAAAAAAATATTCACGATTATTTTCAAAAATAAATATTTTTAAAATAAACATAAAATTATTTTTGATTTAAACATTATTATCAATGGCTTCAAACATGGAATACGTTTGTAATCAACCTAGTTTATGTTTGTGGCCAAAACAAACTGAGTTTACGTTTAAATTTACCTCAAATACCTCAAGTACCAGAGCTGAGCCAAAAAGGTGAGCACGTTATTTCGGGACCTTCTAGTCTTAGAGTTACCTCTATGCTTATACCCTTATACCCCGTAATATAGGCTGTCTTGCAATGAGCACTCATACATAGGATTTCCAGTGAAATCTAGATGTATGAGTGCTCATTGCAAGACAGCGTATATCACGTGATATGCGCTGTAATGTGAAAGGGATATTATTCAGTTTGCTATTCGATCAGGTGTTGAATCTGGAAGACATTCAACGTTAATATAGCTTTTAAATATCAGATCAGAGTAAACAGCGGAATAAAGCGCATCTATCAATCTCAATGAGGTTTATTCAGCACATAATTCGACATCTCGTTTCATTCAGCATTTTACACTTTTATATAGCATTTATTCAATATTTATGCTTAATTGAGACTCTGGAGGAGTGACTTACCCTCGTATCAACGCGTAAGAACCTCTAAAACAACATTGTTACATTCTGCGTTGGTCTCGTTGTTTGCATTCAGTTAAAAAAAGATCAATCGATTACGACGTTTCGTTGTCAATATTGCCACTACAGTTGGAAGCTTAAATCTCGGCCTAAATAAACCATTAGCGTCAATCAAGAGTAAAATCGATTGTCGCTTGTGGGTTATTCCGGTTTCTTACTGTAGCGACAATATATCACAAAATTTTCCATTCATTTGCCTGATTTTTTGATCTTACATACAGTGGATATTCGCTAATTGGGTTATTTAGGGGTATTGAGGTAAATACATATTCGTTGTCTGCATTAAAAATGGAACCGAATTCCAAAATTTAATCAATTTTGGTACCCTATAACTATTTCAAATAAGTACGTTTACATTAGTAAAAATCACCATCTGTGCGCCCCTTTGTGGGACTTTGTATGGGAGCGAGCTGTCAACGAATAGATTAAGTGTCAATGATCAACAATTTAAATCTTGATTTAAAAATCGTGATGAATGTCTACGGGATCGATAAACATATCGTTGTGCTCAGAAAACAAATCGGTATATTTTTTAAGTTAAACAACCCAATTAGGGTATTTCATCAATCTGAATGAGTGATTGAACCATTAGTCAAAATTAAGTTCAATAATTTTGTTTTCTAATGGTTCAATCATTCATTCTGATTGATTAAATACGTCAAAAGCGCAAAAAGGCTCGTGAAAAGGCCTCCCCCAGTTAGTGAATCTCCGTTGTATTAGATAATGCATGTAAACCTTTTCTTTCGCTTCCACCACTTCACAACTTCACAAATTAAAATATTTAAAATAATCTGAAACAAACGGCGAGGATACGTGATACGAGGATAGGTGCAAATTATTGTTTTTGTTTACATTTTAAACGCTCTGCACACCAGAAAGTTTGAGAAACTTCAAATCATCTGTCGGTCCATCGGTCATGGTTTACGTAAAGCGAGACGTAAAGTACTTTTTTAGAACTAAAACGCAAACCTTGTCGGACGCTATGGATGTTAAGGCCGGCGCACAATAGATACGTTTTCAGCCTTTTTGACAGTTAGACCATGCATTATCTGTCAAAAAACCCGAAAACGTATCTTTTATTTATTTATTTATTTATTAGTTGCAGCAGTTTCGATGCAATATTCAACAACATTTTTTTTTCTGTGCATGTAAAATTCCACATGATTTACATGTGACTACCCGAAAAAAAATAACAACAAAAATACATTAAAAAACAATGTAACAATAAGACGAAAATTATTGTCTTAACAATGATTTATATTGTTACGTCTACAATAAATTTATCTTGATTTATGTTGTACAAAACAATAAATTTCATGGTAAATGGAAAATTTACAATAAAAAAGGGGGGTTGTTAAGTATCTTAACAATGAAATTTTCGTGATTTTCCCATATAATTTTTTTTCAATAACATTATATATTATTGTTATTTTACTGTTGGTTGGCGAATTTATTGATTAAAAAAAATAACAGTGTACTTTAGAGTGTATGTGTTGGCTTGACAGATCTACTTTATCGACTTTAAAAATAAATCGAAAAAATAAAACATTGCCCCGGGAAGGGAAGGGGGTGGTATGTCTGTTTACGGGTGGTCCTTTTTTTACTGGTTATGGATCGAGATTCGATCCAGAACTTGTGAGAAATGCAGGCCAACTCCCCTGCGCTCGATATCCCTAGGTCACGTCTCCTTGGTGGTTGAGCGTCGTTGATAAGTTAATGCATTCGACTGGAGAGAATCGCCCATGAAATATGCTTCCACCTGACCTGACATCTTCAAGTGGTGGAATTTTTTATTATTATTGTATGATTATTGACTGCACGGAAAAGGTCTCCATTAAGCTTTAGAGAGGGTCTAGGATAAGATATGAGCGGACGCGGACTGCCTGGTTTTGAGCCAAACGAACTGTCAAAGCCAGAGCCATACGAGCAGCGAGCAACGCCTATCTTAATTACATTGGCAGTGTTGCTGACCCTCTCATAGTCTGCATGCTTCAATCAGATTTATTTTTATTGTTCGTGAAGTAACCCACAATGAAAATACACCAATATTTAATGTAACAACAATTTTTATTGTAATAGAGTTGTTCATTATTGTTCATGATCGAATCATGTTAACAATAAAATAAATGAAAAATACGATAAAAAACATTGTAACAACATATTATTATGTACATTCATTGTACAGCTAGGTAGCAGTTTTGCCGTTTTCGGAAGAGTACAACATTATAACAATCATTTTTATTGTCGACAATAAATATTAATGTTAGAGCATTGTTTCCACTGAAAATTTCACTGTATTTTTTTTTCGGGTACACACGAGACCGTTTGTATTAGCATAGAGGTAACTCTAATATCCCGTTCACATTACAGCCTATATCACGTAATATAGGCTGTCTTGCAATGAGCACTCACACATAGGATTTCCAGTGAAAACTAGATGTATGAGTGCTCATTGCAAGATAGTGTATATCACGTGATATACGCTGTAATGTGAACGGGGCATAAGACTCTGGTAGGTCCCGAAGAAACGTGCTCAACTTTTTGGGTCAGCTCTAGTACTATCTTCGGGCTCAGTTCAGCTTCGAACCTGTTCGGATACGGTTGTGTATAAGTTTATTTCTGTTTTGTGCGTGCGTTCGCTGATTTTGCCAGATTAGCGCTGGCACTCTGCCTCCCGGACGGTTATACGTGTGTGATTGGTGGTTTTCTCGCTTTCCGAGAAGTTTTGGAATCGAAAAAGAAAACGTGATGCATCATGTTTGCAGGCATCAGAAGAAGTGTCGCTATCTGCGTTGTTTGTTTTTTTTCTTCGCTTGTGCTCCCGGTACAGAAATTTGTGGCGTCGCGTGTGATAGTTTTTGATTTCAGTTTGTTTACGCGTTGTATGATTTTGTGAGCGGTCGCTTCGTGTTCGCGTCATGGAGCAATCGACTACATTCGACCAGAGGATTGATCCCCGTAGGGCGGGTCTATGATCGGAGCTACTACACCAAGCGTGACATAGCTGCTTGCAAGGGATTCAGTTGGACTGATTTGGTGAGATTGTTCCATTTTTCTACTTTTGTCTATTTAAACTTAATTTCTATGAATGCGTATCGTTTGGAATCATTTGATTCGGATGAGACTCTTAACTTTTATTTGTTTACATTGTGTTTCAATTGGTATTCTTAAGAACTTCATAAAATAAGGTTTCAATATTTAAATTGAGCAGATCGACTAGCCTGGTGGCTGCCGCTTTTGCTTACTGAGTAGAAGACCGTCGGGGATCCACATTGTAAAGATTCCCTATTTTCAGCTTTTTTACAGGCTGGAGTTGTTGTTTGAACCATTTAGTTTATCAATTTAATTTATCTGTATAACAATTATTCACAAGCATTCTTCCAGGTCAATTCAAGAATAGTTTGATGATGATAAATCTTCCTAATATTCACATTACAATTATGACCCGATCCAGTCAATCTCTCCGCGCATCAGACTGTTATTTTTCAATAATTCCACATAGTTGTAATTTCATACCTTCCTCCTTCAAGATGAATGTTTAAGATACACATACTTTGCTAGCTGACAAAATGGGGTCATTGCTGTATAATTATTCTCTTTTTGCAGCCTTCATTCAGACTGGATCTATTGATTTAAATTATTTGAGTTTTCTTCCAGCTCTTTGATGACGGAACATCACTAGATTTATACTGTAATGATTCACTCTTACAGCTTTCACCCTGGTTTTGTCTGTTGATTTGATTTGTTTGAATTGGTTTTCAGCTCTTTGGTGTTGGCAGTCGCGGGCGATCAATTTTGCTCATGCTCATGCTCTAAGTTCATTTTCAGCATTTCGATGATGGAACGTCTTCAGATTTATATTATAAGGGGGCTTATTACGGATGTCACATCACGGTGAAAAGTTGTCACTTGTCGTCACGGTGAAGTGATTCCCATTTGATTTGTACGGTAATCACGGCTCTTATTCTGAGTATCACTTTCTTATCACCGTGTAGTGACACCCGTAATAAGGCCCAATGATACACCATTTGGTTTTGGCTTCGGGCAAATCGAAGTATAATGCATGATAACACTGATTCATTTAAAACCATGGTCGCATCACTTATCAAGGTGAATCCTGATCCAACGAACCCAACTTACTAACAAAATCTCCTTTTCTGTGTCTTTTGTTGGAAATTTCAGGGTTACATCTTCCTTATTGGGAGCTGATGAGACATAGAGCTGCATCATATTGTATGTAAAATAATTATTATTTTCATTGCGGAATACCAGTTTTTTTATCCATATAAATGTATTTTCATTATTACGTATTTTAATGTTCTGATATATTTCATTTCTCCATTACATATGTTTACTATATATATAAATAAATACTGGGTTGGGAGGGAGCATCAGGGTATCATTTGACCTGAAACTGGACGATTGGAGTGGTATGACAACCGGAGTCTAGGAGGGAATAAACACTATCATTTTCTTTATCCTACCGATTCTATTGTGATGGTGTGAATTCTACTCCAACAGTTTCAGTGAGATTGACGCGTCCTTCTTAACAAACCATCCTGTATGAAGCTTAATAAGTATTGCGAATTGCGTTATTCGATTTGTTGGATCGTATCGTTGGAAGGAGATTCTTAAATTCCGGTGGATTTCGCGTAAGTGTCTCTGCTTACGGGTCCACCCCACCGTTTTTGGCCCTTCATACAGCGATATTGTGAATTCAGATCGGTAGCTCAAATTGATCTTGCTATTAAGTGGAGCTGCATACAAGACAAGATCTTCGAAGGGATGGTGGCTACCTTACATACATACATACATACAGCTCTAGTACTATCTTCGGTGCCAAGCTAATCGATTCACCCCTCGAAACATAGGAAAATCATTGTGTAGTACTAGAATTTCGACTAGAATGGGGTACGTTAATCGATTTGCTTGGGACCAATAGGCTAGTCAAGTAGTAAGCTAATTTAAAATCGATAGTTTCATATTGATTGTTGGGATTAGTGAGCAGTTTCACTAATCCAAGCGTTTTACTGGTTGAAAATAAAAAACAACCCCGTGTCAACTCGAACACTTTGACAGCTGATTTCGATTATAAACAAATCGGTTTTACACGGCTACACTAGCAATGTTTATTTGTATGTGTCCCACACATCAATTTTTGCAATGTGATGAACAAATGATATATATGTGTCAGACATATAGTTCTTATGTGTACATACACAATTCATGTGTAACCACACATACTATTCATTTGACTCGTAAATTTCATGTGTACTTCTGAGTGGATTCTGTTTATATGTGGACACATGGAAATCATGTGGAATTTTATATGGAAATTCATCAATGAAAATGTGTCGAATTTTATCAGTGTAGCAAAGTTGTAAAAGTAAAATGATCAAATAGACCAATGTAACAAATGTACACAAAAAGAGTTAAGCGATACAAACTCGACAGTGAGCATTCATAAGGGCGTATACGCGATGATCGATTCTCTTCATCGATTTTCTCTTTTGTTAATAACTCGCTAGATTTAACGTTTGTCGGTGCGTTTGCTGTTGCTTTTGATAGTCAATGCAACCTGTTACAACTCTACATTGAACAAATTCTACAAAATTGTTTCGCTTAGCTGTAGCAATGCAAAGAGAAAATCGATGAAGAGAATCGATCATCGCTTATACGCCCTTATGCATGCTCACTGTCGAACTATTACCACAAACGAAGTGACAGACGGAGTGGCTCGAAAACTTTGGTGACTAACCTGCTATTGCAATTTTTCAGTGTACCACATGGCAACACCACTACTACTGGATTGTACCACATGGCAACACTACTATTGGATTGAACTAGCATTTTTACCAAATGTACTAGAATGTTTTGGTTCTATCTCTTTCACTCTACTCAAAACCTAAAAAACCTAAAAAAAATGACAAAATGATACACTCTTTGCACACTGTCAAAGAATCATTGTACACAAAATCAACTTTGTGCAAAACCAAAACAAAAATACTATCCCATCTGGTGACAGATGGCACAAGCTTCTAAGAAAATTCTATTCCAGCGAACCACATTATTTTAATTGATTTCTTCGCCAGTTAGTCGTCTGTCACTTCGTTTTTGCTATTACTCTTCTATGATTGTATGTGATAAAAAAACATCCATCCAAATTTACTTTCATTTATTTAAGATATTCATAGGTCAAAAATTGTCCAATGTACAGTTTGAAATGATGGGTACATGTTTGTTACTTCGGTCATTCGGACTGCCTTACATGATTGGTGCTCATTTTCTAAAGGGGGGCCAATTTAAAGTTAGGTACTCTACTACGACATCTGTGAAAGGGAATCTAGTATCATGTAGAACAAATCGTCCAATGTAACATCAATTGATTGTGTCATTGAGAAAAATCGTCCAATGTACAACTTGACTAGTCAAAACGTCCTATGTGGTTTTTGCTATATTGTAGCAATAAATTAAAATCAAAATTGTGATTTTACCGTTTCTACTGAATTTTGAACGTTATTATTCACTGACTACATTTAAAATAGTAGTGGGGTCTCCCTTAGCTCAGTCGGTAAAGGCGTAGCTACAAAGCAAGACCATGCCGGAGGTGGCTGGGTTCAGTTCCCGGTCCAGTCTAGGAATTTTTCGGGTTGGAAAATTTCTCGACTTCCCTGGGCATAGACGTATGATTGGACTTGCCACACAATTATACCAATGCAAAAATGGTACAGGCATCGAAAGCTCTCAATTAATAACTGTGGAAGTGCATCTAGAACACTAAGTTGAGAGCACGCAATAAGCTTATATGCGATATGCAATAAGCATGAAATGCGAAGAAGAAGATTTAAAATAGTATTGCAAAATGTATTGTTTCTAAACAGTTAAAATAATAATCTGTCGAATTTCACCTTCGATTTGCTCAAAATGGTGGATAACTTACATTGGTCTATTTGAAAAGTGACGCGAGAAATCTTGCGGCAAGAAGTCAATTTCGTCGGTGCACAGAAAAAAAAAATGTAATATCGATCAACGTAATTCAAGCTGATGTATGAAATAATGATGTACACGCAGAAAAAACACTGAGGCGTAAACCAATAATTATATATATAATAGCAAAAACCAAATACAATATTACATCAATGGATGTAATTTTGTTCGCAAAATCGATGTACATCGTACAACGTAATATTATACCACCAGCAGAATGACCTCTGTGCACGAGTCTGTGCAGGTGTTTGGATGTAATATTCAACAACTTTTTTTTCTGTGTGGAACCATCATCATCATAATCATCATTCACAGAAAAAAAGTTGTTGAATATTACATCCAAATAGCTGTACAGAGGTCATTCCGCCGGTTATGTAATATTACGTTGTACGATGTACATTGATTTTGCGAACAAAATTACATCTATTGATGTAATTTTGTATCTGCTTATTGCTATTACATCATTATTTCATACATCAGCTTGAATCACGTTGATCGATATTACATTTTTTTTGCTGTGTTATTATTTATGTTGTTCACATTTTCCCGGACCCGAACCCTATACACTCCGACATCACAAGGGAAACGTCATTTTCTGACAGTACGGTTCGCAATTTTTTTTTTTTTCGATGTCTCTCTTCCCCCGGGGCGGTGTGCGTGTTTCGGTCGGTCGCGCGCGTGGTTGATTTACCTCCTTCTTTGCAAAATTCGATCTATTCGGTTCGCGAGTCAGCTCGATCTTGATGTCAGTCTAATTTACTCGCTTTTCGCGGTGTGACTCTCGCTGTGACTGGTGCTTCTCGGTCAGGAAAGCTCGTGCTTTCTCGTGTGCTCCGTGTTGGTGGTGATTCCCAGAGTGCCCTGCGTCAATTTGTCCCATCTGGTGCAATAAACAGGTGACCCTTCCGGCGCTGTTCCGTGTCCCTGAAGACTGTTAGTCATTTTCTTGTTCAATTGCGTTTGTTCTTTCGCGTGACCTTTTCGTCGTGTGTGTGAACGAACAGTGGAAAATTCGATTTATCGCTGTGTTTTATAATCACCGAAAAAAGGTGTTGAGTTAGTGCCATATCCGGTGGTAATCAGATATACACCCAATTGAAACAAGTTCGATAAAGTCGGTAAGCAAAATGTCTCAGGTGACGATGAATGGCGAGAACGATCATGCCAACCACGCTACGGTGAATAATCACAAGGAGATGCACCAGCGCTGTCTGAATCCGTACCGTTCCAAGGTGACGGTAGTCCTCGGTGCCCAATGGGGAGACGAAGGCAAGGGCAAGGTGGTGGACATGCTGGCCACCGAAGCGGACGTTGTCTGCCGCTGCCAGGTGAGCTCGTAGTTGTAGTCCTTGGCTCGAAAGCTGTAGTTTTTTTTTGGCGAATGCCTGCATAGAGGAGCCTTGGAAGCATTACATTCTAGCGAATGAGTGGTATGAGAAAAACGACAAAGTAGGAAAATCCCTAGCAGGGCTGGCAGTCAATGCTTTTATTGTGACTCACTGGGTCACTGGGTGTTCGAGAAATCGAAATTGGATAATACTGTGCAGCCATTATATTTGACACAATTAAGGAAATATCAAATACAATGTTTATTTAAAAACTCAATCTTGGATGATTTTTGTTTTAAAATTTTGCGTGTATCTATTTAAAATATCTAACAACAGGGGACAAATATGAAACTTGACGAACTTGTTAAAAAAATGTTGGGAAAAAACGTTTGATATCGTACATCGTGTGTCTAACATTGACACCCTAATTATCCCTATGTTCCTAATTAAACGCAATATAAAAATGCAGTAAATGTAATCAATAATGATGGATTGTTGAACATTTCGTTAGACGCTTAGCGGGCACAATTCTGCACAAATGGTTTTCTGAAAACTTGTCGTTTCGAGAATTGGCAAAAAGCGTGAAGTGCAGTAAATCTACAGATTGTTAAGAAGTTTGGAGCAACGTGTTCTCTTGAAGATTTAGCGAAATCTGGGCGCAAAGATTGGACAAAAAAAAAAGAGCTGGTGCAGAACGCCTTTTGAAATCGCATAAACCGTGTTCCGTTAGTGAAATTTAAAAAAAATGTCATTTGCGTCTGAACTGTGCCAGAATATCAAAAAACGTAACAATATCAGAACCTGCAAGAACCAAAAAGCACCCACGGATTCACAGAAAGCTTCTTCGAAAATACGGTCTCGGAACTTGTATGACGTTCTCCTTCAAAATGGCAAGCCATTTGCTCCTGTAGCTTGAAGAGTTCTTCGTATTTCACAATGGGCACAATCAATGGTGAAAATTACAGAAAAGAATGCATCACAAAACAAATTCTACCCATCTACCGAAAGAATACGGATCCTCCATTGTTTTGGCCGGATCTGACATCTGCTCACTATGCTTCTGCTACGTTGGAGATGCTCAAGCAGGAAAAAGTCTTGTCGAACAATTCCAAAATCCCCCAAACTGCCCAGAACTGCGTCCTATCGAAAGATACTTGGCAATAATTAAACGGCATCTTAAGAAAGATGAAAGAGAAGCAAGCTCTGTTGACTGCTTCAAGAAAATTTGGTCTGCAGCACAACGAAAAGTTAAGAAGAAAGTTGTGCAGAATCTAATGGGTGGTATCAAGTGAAAAGTTCGAACGTTCTTCAGAAAAGAGAAGTAAACGTGAACTCACCTGATATCGATCATGTTGATTTGTTGTATGTTGATTTTCATTTTTATAAATAAACTTATAAATTTGTTCGAAAATAAATATTTTCCTTTGAGAAACACGTGTCTACTTTCATTAATGAACAGTCCTTATACCCTGTGTCCTTAGTTTAGTGCCACCACTATTGAGAAGTGAAGAAGTAATCGGTTTTGATACAGTTGTCATTCTTAACTTTATCGCAAGGATCCTACTTTAACTGTAAGGTCCCGCTCTGTATACCCTTTGGAGTGTTGGAACTTGGAACACCCTCGAAAGGCGCACTCCTTTTCCAGTCAAAAACGGATTTCTTAGCAACAAAATGAAGTAATAACCATGCATAATGATAATGACCAGGCATCAGAATCCTACTGTGTTACCTGACTTATAACGAATATACGTTGTATACGAGTACCCCGAGTACAACGTATGACTCGTCTAATTTTGCATAGCATTTGCAATGTAAAATTAGACGAACTATACGTTGTATTCGGAGTACTCGTATACAACGTATATTCGTTCTAAGTTAGATAACACAGTAGTCTTAACCACTTCAAACTAGAGAACAGCGAATCTAACTCATTTTTTTTCTTTGTCTCAAGATCATCCTCGGTGAACACAGCCGAGTCTTGTCACTATCAACAAGACATACAAAATAAAAAGGACTAAGATGGGTTCCTTTCGTTACAAAACAATTTTGTTCCTCTAGTTTGAAGTAATTCGGAAAATCTCTCTAATAAAGTTCCCAAAGCAGGGGCAAGTGGCCTCTACTCCGGAAAACTTCCGTCCGATCTCTCTGACTTGCTGCATTAGTAATGTCATGGAACGGATGGTCAATCGCCGTCTAATTCGCTTTCTCGAGGACAACGACCATCTCGATCACCGACAGCATGCGTTCAGATCCGGTCACGGCACCGGAACGTACTTTACTGGCCTGGGCGATGTACTCCAAGAGGCGATGGATGAGGAACTTCATGTCGACATAGCGGCCCTGGATTTAGCTAAGGCGTATAACCGTGCCTGGACCCCCCAAGTCATCAAACAGTTGGCTGACTGGGGTCTGGGTGGCCACATTCTACACTTTTTAAAAAATTTCCTTTGCCGCAGAAGCTTTCAGGTGAGGATCGGGAACCACCGCTCCTCAACCCGGGCGGAAGAAACTGGAGTCCCACAGGGATCCGTCATAGCGGTCACCATCTTCTTGGTCGCCATGAATGGAGTCTTTGGGATCCTACCAAAAGGAATATACATATTTGTATATGCAGACGACATCGTCCTGCTGGCTTTAGGACGCACCCTCAAGGCTCTGCGAAGCAAATTACAAGCTGCTGTATCAGCCACCACAAGATGGGCCAGTAGGGTCGGCTTTGAATTATCCGCAGAAAAGACCGTGGTTTCCCACCTTTGCCACTTCCGTCATCGCCCGCTACCAACAGCCATCGTTGCGAACAATATTCCAATACCCAACAAGAAGACCATCCAGGTTCTCGGTGTACGCTTGGACCGGGAGCTGAGGTTCGACGCACATTTCAATGAAATCAAAGCCAACTGCCGCACGCGGCTAAACCTCCTCCGAACACTTTCCAAACCACACCGGAGCAGTAACAGAGAGTAACTAAAAGTGGCCAAAGCCACTGTAAACAGTAGATTATTCTACGGGATCGAACTGTTCTGCCTTTCCAACGACTCTCTTACCACACGACTAGCCCCAACGTATAACCAGGCAATCAGAATTGTCGCAGGACTTCTGCCTTCAACACCGGCTGAATCGGCATGCGTCGAACTCGGTGTACTACCGTTTCAATACCAAGTCGCCGAAACGCTGAGCTGCAGAACGACCAGCTACCTGGAAAAGACCACCGGGAACCACGAGGTCTTTCTCCTCAGGGAGGGGAACAGAGCTCTCGGAAACTTGGTCCATCAGGAGCTCCCACCCGTGTCCAGGGTACACTGGAACGGAGCCAGAGGATGGACAGAACCAACCATACGCATTGACCTTTCAATTGCCAAGCGCTTCAAGGCATAACAACTCCCGTGCCATGCAGGCCCACGTAGCGGAGCTGCCTTGGCCCGGGAGTGGTTCGCAAAAAGGGGGCCGTTCCTGAGAAAAATAAAGGGCGACACCTCCAAATGGAATGCCATTACGAGCCGATGGGAACAACAGGTCTTATCCCGGCTTCGATCCGGACACACCCGAGTGACCCACAACATGGGTAGTGCTGCCTCTTTTCGGAAGTTTTGCGACTCCTGCAACACGATTATGACAGTCGAACACCTGATTGTTAACTGTCCCTGCTTCCATAACATCCGACTCCTCTATGGAATACCGAACAGCATACGTAACGCCCTCTCTAACGACCCGTCCACGGAAGCAGCCCTAATAGTTTTCCTAAAAGATGCTGGACTGTTCTATAAAATATAATCAATAATACAAAATGACTACACTTCGAACATGGACACCACTGGAGTAAGCCTGGATATCACATGACGATTACCTGACTGCCTTCGACAACGACCACCGCCATTCACACCATGATCCGCCAACCACGCTAAGAACCAAGACAGGAACTATAATGAACTCTGTTTAAAAATACTCTGTACTAAGGGGACTCCCTTCTGGAGCTCCACCAACCTCTAGGAGAACCCCTTCTGGGTTCTCCAAAATCTCAACTATGTAATTAGGAAAGCCCCCTTCTGGGGCTCCCGGAGATGAACCAGCCTGCGGCTGAAAATCTAAATAGAGATAATAATAATAATAATAATAATCTCTAATAAAGTTTAAAAAAAAACTAGTTCGGACCAGGTTTCGGATCTTAATGTCGGTAACGTATCATGGGATATGCTTATTACGATTTAGGTGCCTTTCAATTTTTCAGTGCATAAAGTCCAGATGGGATTAGGAGGGATAGTGCAGTGAAGCCTTGAAGAGCAGGTTCAGTGATTTTCGGTGCAACTCCGGCAAACTTTTGCGGATCCTTGCTGTTCCGTGGTATGACGTGCCGTTTGTTCTAACTAACGCTTTGGAACGCTCAGCTAAGTTTATTTGCTATACATATAATTATTTGTGTTTATGCATATACATTGCAACTATAACTTAATAACTAAATACGTGCCAGTATCAAATTAGTATTGTTTGATTCTGGAAGTGTGAATACACTTCAGATATCCATTTGATATGTGAATGTGTTCATGCGGGGCTTACTGAAGATGAAGATGACCTCAGAATGTACGTGTATGAACAGTTATTTTTGGAATGGGTAATTGGATTTACAGTAGAGCTCCAGGGTTAAAAATGTTTGCATCTATCGGCGAAAACAGTTTTATCAACAAATAGGTGCAGGCTATGGTTTCTTCCATAAAAGCACTGCCGGTCAGTGGGAGATAGATTGTATCAGCACACAACTCCGGCAAACTTTTGCGGTTCATGTTCAAGTTCGGGGATATGTCTACGAGGAGGAATGAGTCCAGAGAACTACTTATTTTAAATATTAAGCTTACGTAACCTTGCACACACCATCTGTGGGAGCGAGTGTACGATCTTCCACCAGAGGTACGTTGATGCTAGAGAAAACACTGAATAGTTGAACTTGTCGTCATTCGGGAAAAAGTTCCTGCCGATGCCTCGACATTTACACGGGTGTCAAGGTGTGT